CGAAAATGGCATACAAAACAAAGCATTACAAGACGTCGGATGCACAGGCTTCAAAGTGGAAATAAACATGCATTTTAATTACAAAGTGTCAAAGCACGGCTACATTAACGCTAAATAGTGTTACAAGTCAACAGAGTAAGAAAACATTTGCAAACAACTACAAGTTAAGATACAGAAACACACAGCACGTTACTGTTTCTCCGAGTTATCAGTCGAGGCAGCAACAGGAATGAAGACTGGAACCTCGGTGCATCTCCTGCAAAACAACAGAAATCAGTATTAACTCCTGGTTACAAACAATCTCAAAATTGTCCGATCGAGCTTCTGTATTGATTCACACGTTCAAAAGATACAGTTGCAATAAAGCGATTAAGCCTGGCGTAACAGAGATTGTTCCTGTTCAACAGGGTATAGAAGCAGTTACAATGTATCGATTAGAAACTACCACTACAGTGTTTTTTTTATGAATTCCATTTTGATTAGCATAATCTTTTTCTGCAACAACCTGTTTAACAGAAATAATTCATCCATATCTTTATAGGCTCCGTTGTTTAATTGTGGTGATGCAATTTGGAAGCCTAAACGGTTTCTGAATAATCTAGTATACGCATCAAGGAAAACTAAATTGATCGTAGTTCAGCAGAAAATGATTTCTATGAACAGCAGGCCTACAATGTCGGGTCAAAACCATTTCTGCCCCGGAGAAATCTAGTATCGCCTAGTTTGAGTTTTCTCAAATTTCCAACAACTTGCAGGAGGTGCAGTATACTGTACTTCAATGTGATACGTGTAAACGAATAAAAAGGTCTATACTTACATCGATAATTCCAGCAGCTGAGCCAAGCATGTCCTGCCCGCAGACACCAAACTGAAAACACAAGAACACAAGTATTTAGACGATTATTTAAGGATAATTAAAACCAAGGTTTCTTAGTAGCAAGCGGCGTTTTCACCAGGGTAGATAGCGCAGAAAACATTTCAAAGAGATACGTGTAAATAAATGATTAAAACGTTTATACTTACTTGGATAATTACAGCAGCTGAGCCAAGCATGTCCTTCCCGAAGACACTAAACTGAAAACACAAAAATGCAGAACTTAGAATTGAAAGACCATTGAAACTAATACGTATTCGTTGCAAGCGACATTTTTACCACGAATATAAGAGCATAATCACACAACTTAGCCTGGAAAATAATTTTAAAAATCTCACAATTCTAGTTAGGCTACTATCGGTTTGGATAAATGCATACGCTTGATTTTGTGAACAAAGACTTACATTCTAAATGTTATTTAGCTTCCAACGAAAATACGAGTTTTATCCCTTTCTCCTGCGAGGTCTACACTACATAATTACATTAGTTACATTTTAAAAACATTCAAATAAAGGAAAAATAAAAAATAACCATAAAAGACGCGGAACAAACGCACTCAGCTCCGCTCTCTCCAGCAGAACCTGGCGCACAGGTGCGCGGGGCGTGGCCTGCGAGAGATGTAACTCGAGTGGGCGTGGCCACAGTCTGACGGTGCAGGCAGTTTTTTTCTTGGCTCCACGTGAAAACGTATTAAAGATATCGAGCATGTTTACAGAAGCCCCCATGAGTTACAAATTCAAAATCCTTTTTCCCATGGCCATCTGAGTAAATCACAGTCCATGAAATCCCTATTAGTGTTTGAGAGCCACTGGAATATGAATGAAAGAATTTAGCAATATGTAGGCGAGCTGTGGGGTCTAAAGTTTTTGCAGGACGCATACTGTTCTATAACCTGATCTATCTTAACTCTGCAGCAAGAAGTCATAGTCATATTTATATTCTGTAAACGTTTATCATGCACTCAATGTACTACCTTTGTACTCATTAGTCATTCAGCTGATGTGCTCATTTAAGAAGTTAAAAGAACATG